TCCCCCAGAAAGAAGGGAAGGAGGAAGGGAAAAAAAGAAGGGAGTTTGCTTGTGGACACAGTGGGTTTGCGATGCTAATGGATCATCCTGGGGGCTGTCACACTATTGATGCCATGGGTGAGCTTGCGACCTGGACATGGAGCAGAATCCATGTTCCTCACCACCCAGGGCGAGCTGGAGGGAGGCAGGGTGGGTGTCTGGCACCAAGCGTCCCACTCTGCCCTCCGTCACTGAGCCTCACGGCCCTCCCTGTGGAGTGGCACCTGCCCTTCCCGGGTGACAGAGCAGGAGACCAGCTCGGAATCGGGGAAGCGGTGCTGCCTGGCCTGGCACGGTGAGCAAACTTCCCGCTCAGTCAGGCTCGGCCCTGGGAAAGAGGCTGATGAGTTTCTCAAGGCTTCTGAGTGTTTCAAAGTTCTGAAGGTTGAGAAGCAACACTGTGGCCTTGGTGCGCTCTCCCCGGGCTCTGGCCTCGGTGGGGGCTGGAGGTCTTTGGTGCCAATAGTTTAGCGCCACATTGCTCCAATCTGTCTCTGTCCTCCCTCGGACTTTCTGGCTCTGTGTCCGCGTCTCGTCTCCCCCAGCCTCATTCTTTATTTTTTTATTTTGCCTCACTTTTAAAACCATACTTGCCGCTGGATTTAGAGCTTTTCAGACAATCCTGAATGATTGTCTCATTTTCAAACCATCTGCAAAGACTGTTTTCCCCAAAGGAGACAAGAACGACAGCTTCTGGGGATTAGGATGCTGACTTACTTTTCGGGGAGTCACCGCTCACCCACCTGCGCAGGCTAACTAGGGGCTGAAGCTGTTAGCCTTGGAAATCTCACGAAATGCCTTCCAAGCTTAAAAGGCTGGAAGCTTTCTTTTCCTTAATCTAGGTTCATAAATGAGCCTTTTGGAGAATAGATCAGCAGGCCTAGGGCTATCAACAACACCCTTGGCTTGGTTGTCTACACTGCCTCTAACTAGGGACAAACTGACTCGGGGCCTTAGGACAGAGGGATAGTTGAGCACATGGGATGGATGGTACACGCGTGGGCAAGGGTGCCACTCAGGACTCGGTGTGTCATGTCAGGGGGTGGGTGTGGGTTTGTACCAGGACATGGCTTAGCTGGGGTTCCCCGGCAGGGTGTTGGGTCATGCGTCCCCAGTTACAATGTCTCAGTGTGGGCATCCGGGATGTAAAGGAATGTGGTTCTGGCTGCCATGTGACTCGTCTGCCCATAGGGCATGGCTTGACTGTCACACAAAGCCACTTTCCTTCCTGCCTCAGGGACTTCTGCAGTCTCTAGAAGAGAACTTTGTGTCAGAAGAACGAGCTAGGACATAGGCCTTTATTTCTTTTTACTTTTTTCAGGTAATGGAAGCTGGTAATCTTTATTTTTATTGGTATGCATGTGCAGGCCATAAGGATCACATTCCTCCTGGAGGGGGGTGGTACATGCACATAACACGTCTGCATTCTTTTCTTACCCCCTTCTCCTCCCTGCTCCCCCATCCCTCTGTCTCTTGGTCCCCTTCCCTTTTGTAAAAGATCTCCCTCCCTGTTTCCTATTGTCTAGCTTTTATTTTGTTCTTTTTTGGGGGGGGGTACCAGGGATCAAACTCCGGACCTTGTGCTTGCAAGGCAGGTGGTGGAACCACTGAGCTAAATCCCCAGCCCTTGTTCTTTATTTATACTTTCAGTCTCTCATAAGAGAAACCCTGCCGGGGCTAGGGATTTAGCTCAGTGGTTCTGCTGCCTGCCTTGCAAGTGCAAGGACCTGAGTTCAATCCCCGGTACCAAAAAAAAGAGAAACCCTGCCATATTTAAGCTTGTGTGTCTGATTACTTCACTTAACATTATAGTCTCAAGGTGCATCCATTTTCCTACCAATGACTCAAATTCATCCTTCTTTATGGCAGAGTCATACTCCACTGTGTCCAAATACCACATTTTCTTTATCCGTGTATCTGTTGATGGACATATAGGCTGTTCCCAATATTTCCCGATTATGAATTGTGCTGATGTACACATGGGTGTGCACAGGTCACTAGGATATGATGTCTTTAACTCTTTGGGGAAGATTCCTAGGCAGAGAAGAGCCCGGAAGCCCCTTTCCTGATTCTCTGGTCTCCCTGCTGTCTCCGTGAGAGATCTGACAGGCGAGGGCTTTGGAGACCACCAGACTTCTTCACCAGCTTTCTCAGGTCTTATCAGCAAACAGCACATCACAGAAAATTATACAACAACTTCTATTTGTAGAACACCTTACAGAATGCAAAGCATTCCACTAAGTACTAAGATTCCAACAAAGCATTCCAACTAAGATGGCGTCTTAGTTACTCTTCTCATTGCTGAGACAACATACTCCACACCTAAAGTTAAAAGGGGAGGCCGGGGATGAAGCTTAGTGGTGCTGTGCCTGCTTGGCAAGCACAGGGTCCTGAGTTTGATTCTCGGTACCCAAAGGGGGGTGGTATTTAGCTCACAGTTTATAGAGATTTCAGTCCATGGTTGGCTGGCTCCAAGGCAGGGTGGCATGGCAAAGGGGCATCACAGAGGAGAAACAGTTCAAGGTGGGCAGAAGGCAGAAAGGCAACAGGGACCTTAACAGTGCCTTTCTGCCCTTTTTATGTTACCCAGGCTATTTAGGGTGGGTAGCACTCACACCCCTAATACTAATGTCCTTGAGCCTAGCACTGCACCATAAATCAATTCCAGCATCACACACTCTAGATCCAGGCACCTCTGAAAAAGCCCCACCTATGACCACATGAGGCTTTGGGCTACAGCTAAATACAAGCCATGATAGATGGTATCAACATTCTGACAATTGCCATGCAAATTCAGCTGCTTGGAGAAGAGCCCTGGTGTCCTGTACTGATGGTATTGCATGACAGTCACTGACTTAGGGTGTGGATGCTGACTTATCCCCCACAGTAAAGGCAGAAGGTCCAGCACTCAGGAGGCTGAGCCAGGAGGATTGCTGTGAATTTGAGACCAGCCTGGACTACATAGTGAGTTCAAGACCTGCCTGAACTACACAGTGAGACCCTGTCTCAAAAAAAACAAAACAAAAAGAAGGGGCCGGGAATTTACCTCAGTGGCACAGCATCTGCCTCAAAAGTGCAAAGTTCAGCTGGGGATTTAGTTCATTAGTTCTGCCACCTGCCTCGAAAGCTCAAGGTCCCCAGTTCAATCCCTGGCACCAAAAAAAAAGAACACACAAAAAAAGAAAATGCAAAGTTCTGAGTTAGATCCCTGGTACTGGAAACAAATGAACAAAAAGAAAACAGAGAGCCAGGGATTTAGCTCAGTGGTTCTGCTGCCTGCCTCAAAAGCTCAAGGTCCTGAGTTTGATCCCTGGCACCAAAAAAAAAAAGAAAATAGAGAGTGTTTATTTGTTTTGGGTTAGGAATGATCAGATGTCTGACACTTCTACAACTACCCTCAACTTTCTAAGCCCAGAGTCTGATGCATGCTCTACATTGAGCTGCATCCAAACCTCAAATTATATTTTTTTAATATAATATTTAATATTCCCAGAGGGAGGAGCCATGCTTCCATAGACTCTTACTATGAATTTGGTCATATTTGGGCATTTGAACATGGACTGGGGATGCCAAGCAGTAAGAACTCTGGAGGCTGAGTCCTCCTCAGCCCCTTTCCTGTACTTCAGAAGGAATTTCAGCTTCAGTCCCTGCAAGCTCTGCAGAATCCCCGAGGCTGTCATTTGCAAACCACTAGATGTATTGACTGTGTGTGGGAAGCCCACATGCCTCTGTGTGGATTTTGGATGCTTCTGCAGACTCAGCACAGCGCTTGCCTTCACAGACTGCTTGAGCAGAGCCTGTCATGTATCAGCCTGCACCAGAAAAAACGGTTTCTCCTGCATGGAAACTGCCAGGGAGACTAGAGTGGAAAGCTGCCATTTGCCACTTTTACAGCCGGTCACAAGATCACAGGTTTTCCAGCTGAAAGGGGCTGGGCCTGGTGATGCATACCTGTGATCCCAGCACTCTGAAGGCTCAGGCAGGAGGATTGCTATGAGTTTGAGGCCAACCTGAAGGGGATGCAGAGGCCCACTTAGACCCTCGCCTTTCATTTTGTGACGGGGAAACGAAAGCATGGAAAAGTAAAATGATGAGCCCAATGCTTTTCCACTGTGCTATATCATTTGTTCTAGAAAACACCTCAATAAAGCCGCTTACTGTTTTGCAGATCAAAGACTGGCATTTTTTAGGGTCACGCTCATGCTCTGTCCGGTTCCAGGAGGAACAAATGGGACCTCGATTTGCTGTCACCGGCAGCTTTTGAATGAGTTGCCTTATGATGCCTTATGTCAAAAGTAGTAGTACAGAGAGGACCAAAACACCTGTCCAGGGGTCTCACAGCACGGGCGCTCCGTGGCCTGCAACTGAGTGATGCTGCACCCTCACTCCCTTCTCAGATTGACAGCTTTAAAGTGTGTGGATTTTTTTGTTTGTTTTTAGAGATACGGTCTCCCTATGTAGCCCAGGCAGGCCTCGAACTCTTGGCATCCTGCCTCAGCCTCTGGAGTGCTGGGATTACAGGCGTGTGCCACCACGTCTGACAAGTGTTTTAAAAATATATGGTATGTGATCATTATCTATAGTCACAATAACAGACCAGCACTTCTTACTCCTATCTGACCCTCACAGCGTCTCTAATAAAATTTATCTTTTAAGTGGAAGAGAGTAAAGCTAAGGCTGTGATTGGCAAGACTGTTGCACTTCTTACTGGTCAAAACAGGGGGACGTCTGCTTATTTCCATAATTTGGACAATGTTTATATTTTCTGAGTTCAGACACCAGCGACCAAGTTTTGTCAAGTCAAACAGCCAGGGCGGACGAAAAGTCCTTCGCGAGAAAAATTACCCTCCCCACGCCGTCTGGAAGAGCAGGCCCCACCCCTCACGCAACACGCACGCACGCACACGCTCACACACGCCGGCCTCTCGGCGCGCCCCGCCCTTCAGGAAGGGGCGGGGCCTCCGGGGGCGGGGCCTGAGCTCGTGGCTGACTAGCCCTGGGCTTGTTTGGCGGGAAGTTGGTTTAGCGCGACTACCTGTGGCGGCGCGGGTGTCCTCGTTGTCGCCTTGTCTCGCCTCAGAGGCTTTCAGTTCTCCCTCCATGAACTCGGCGTAGGGCTTAGTGCTCCTTCGCTCCGAGGACGCGATGATTCCCAGGAAGCGCCCAGAAACCCAGAAGACCCCCAAAGTGGTGGTGCGCCCCGGGAGCAGAAGGAGTCCCCGGGAGCGGGAGCCGGAGCCCGCGGCCAAGAAGCCCCGCACGAAGGGCCCCGGTACTGCCTCGCCTGCCTCTGCTTCCCTGTTTGCGCTGTGCGGGTGCTCACGCCGGAGAGCGAGGGGGGACGGGCGCCCCAGTTCTCAGGAGCCCCCGGGTCACGTCATTGATTGGCGAGTAGGCTGTCCCCCACCCCCAGGCGACAGGAAGAAACAGACCTCCCTACCACCGACTCCCGCTATTCACAGTCCTGGTGTGAATAGATTATCTACTTCGAGGGCTGCTTGAAAGAACCCTAACTTTCCTGGCTCTGTGGGTGCTGAGTGTTTGGTTTTTTTTACGGTACTGGGAATTGAACTCAGGGTCTTGGCACTGAGCTGGAACCCTAGCATTTGTATTTATTTTGAGACAGGGTCTCACTAAGTCCCTTAGTTGCCCAGCCAGGGCTGGAACTTCTGATCCTCCTGCCTCAGCCTCCCAGGGTGCTGAGATTACAGGCCTGTCCCACTACCACCCCCGGTTCCTCAGGCCAAGTTGTTAGCTGCCTGTCTTTGCTTTCAGCTGTGAGAGCCACAATTTCCTTCTTTCTCAATTTCAGTGGTTTACCAAAACTTGAGCCTGGGGCCATAGATTGTGGGGGAACTCGAAAGACTGGAGCAGGGGTCAAAGAAGTGGTTTTTTGTCTCTGAGAAAAAGGAATTGGTGGTCAAGAAAAGTCGAACCGTGGAGATTTGGTCCACTAAAACAGCTTGGTGATCCAGATTTGCTTTATCTTATAAAAATTTGATTTACCTCCTGAGAAGTAACCTAATTTAGATTTACTCCAGATCCTACTAGATCCTCCTGGTGCCCAGAAAACAGTTGGCCACTGCTACATTATTTAATGTAGGATTTTAAAATGTGCTTTTTCCTAAGCAGTGGCTTCAATACTGTCCTAAAGTCTTTTATCTGTTTTGTGGTTTTCTTTTTTTGTTTTGGTACCAGAGATCGAACTCGGGTCCTTGCGCTTGCGTAGCAGGCAGCGAAACTACTGAGCTCAATCCCCGGCCCTATCATGTGGTTTTTAAATTGCCACCCAATCCAACTCCAGCTGTCCAGTGCACATGGGGAGGAGTTCTGCAGGATACCAAACTCTTGTGTGGACCTTTCGCTCAGCTCTGGGGAACCCTGCAAGATCATTTTCCACCCTGTAACCCCAGCACTCTGAGAAGCTGAGGCAGAAGAGTTTGAGCCCTGCCTGGGCAATGTAGCAGTTTAGGGAGACCCTGTCTCACAATAAAAAGGGCTGGGGATGCAGCTCCCTGCAGAGGCCCTGGGTTCAACCCCCAGTACTGCCCCACTCAAATCCTCTGGGGACTGTTTTGGGGACAGGTCACATCTCCGCTAAGTGTTTCTTCCCTGTGCTGAGTTCTCACACAGATCAAGGAAAGCCTTGAGGAGTCCATGAGACAGATTGGCCATTTTGAGTGAAATGGCTTGGCTTTTCTGAGATTTCAGCTGAAAACCTTCTGTGTGATTGCAGAGGAAAATATGTGTCTGTTCTTGGCAGGTTCTAGCAGGAGATATGACTCAGGCTGCCTTTGGGCGGGGCTGGCCAGCCTGCAGGTCCCGACAGTGGGCAGCAACATCATCAGGGCCCTGCACCAGCATAAACTGGGCAAGGCTGCTTGGCCGTCGATACAGCAGGTGAGGCATCTCCTAGCCCAGTGGCCCAGGGTTTCCCTGATGCCTTTTTCCTGCGGGAAGATGGGTTGGTTCAGCAGGTTGTCGCATCACTCTGACCCTGCAGCATGGGCTCCAGGGCACTCAGCCAGGAAAAAGAGTCTTACACTGTAAAGGTAGCATGAGCTGGGTGTGGTGGCGCATGCCTGTGATTCCAGCACTTGAGAGGCTAAGGCAAGAGGATTGGTGTGAATTCAAGGCCTGCCTGGGCCACACACTGAGTTTGAGGCCAGCCTGGACTGCATAGGCAGACTCTCATAGCCTCAAAAAAACTAAACTAAAAGTAAAAAAATGAACTTAAGGTGTCAGTTGGAATATACTATGCTCCTTGCTTTCCATGATTAGTTCAAGTCCACTGCAGATGATTTCATGCCAGGCATGGGAGGACTTGGCCTAGGGCTCAGCTCTGAAGGAGCTGGGTTGGCAGTTTATCCAGGGCTTGGGCATTAAGTCAGTAATCCCACTTCATTCTCTTCCTCCATGTTAGAGTCTGCAGCAGTGCTTCGTGCACTCCCTGGCTTCTTACCGGATAGCCCAGAAGGCCTCCCCCTTTGACAGGAGGGCCACAGCCTTGGCCTGGCACCCAGCGCACCCCAGCACCCTGGCTGTGGCTTCCAAGGGGGGTGATATCATGCTCTGGAACTTTGGCATCAAGGACAAACCCACATTCATCAAAGGGGTAAGCAGTTCCCTGTGCTAGATGGTGCTGCTGGGAAAGTGTTGAAGATGGGAGAGGAACACTGGTATCATCCAGCTGCCAATGATTGGCATCAGAAGCGACCATGGAGATTTCTGACATGTAAATGGTAACCAGTCTCGAATATGGAGTGTGCACCCTTGAATGTATGAAGCTGTAGCGTCATGGTCACCCCTAGAGTCCAAGCCTTCTCTTACATCTTTGACCTCATCTTGTCCATCCTTACTTTTGGTGCTTTAGCCACACCAGCTGTTTCTATTTCCTGGAACTGGGGCTCAGTCTTGCTGTTCGCTTGATCAGAGTGCCCTTTCCCAGAGCTGGCTCCATCTCATCTTTAGGTCTTTGCTTAGTCTCCCATGTCAGAGGCATTCGTGCTTCTACTGAGAAGGAACTCCCCGCCCCACACCTAACCATTCCCTAGGTCATCACCCTGTTCCGCCCTCAAATGTGTATTAGGGTCTGAAATGCTGTCTTTCTTTCTGCAACTTTGTCCACTAGAAAGTAGGTGCCTCTGTAATCCCAGCACTCAGGAGGCTGAGGCAGGAGGATTGCCACAAGTCTGAGGCCAGCCTGGGCTATATAGTGAGTTCAAGGCTGCATTGTACTACATAGCAAGAGCCTGTCTCAGAACACACAAAGAATAAGAAAAGTAGGGGCCTCATGACCTGATCATTCTGGCTCACTTTTGTGTCACTGTGCCTAGGACAGTGCATGGCCTAGAGTAGCTATTGATGTTTGTTGAATGAATGAGGGACTTTGGGGATAACTGGGTGGATGGGATGTATTCAAAAGAGATAACTAGTGCTTCAGAACACAAAAGAAGAAAAAACTTGAGAATTTGAACTGATGGAGAAGGCTTCATGGATGAGTGAGGAATGAGGAAGAGCAGTATTTAAATAAATGGGAACTGGGTGTGGTGATGGACACCTGTAATCCCAGAACTCAGAAGGCTGAGGCAGGAGGATCGCCAGGAGTTTGAGGCCAGTCTGGGTTACAAAGTGAGTTCCAGGCCAGCCTGGACTATGAGTTTGTTTGTTTGTTTTTTTCCCCTCGGGTACTAGGGATCAAACTCAGGACCTTGTGCTTGTGAGGCAGGCATGGTGCCCCTGAGCTAAATCCCTAGCCCCAGCCAGCCTGGACTATGTAGCGAGACCCTGTCTTCAAAAAAAGTACCATTAAAAATTTATTTTTGGGCTGGGGATTTAGCTCAGTAGTTCCTTCACCTGCCTCACCAAGTACAAGGTCCTGAGTTTAATCCCTGGTACCAAAAAGAAATTTTTTTTTTCCTTGTGGAACACAAGGCTAAACAAGAGTCATTACACAGAGCTATATCTTCAGCCCTTTTTATTTTTTAGTTTCAGATAGGGTCTTGCTAAATTTCACAAGCTGGGCTCAAGCTTGTGGTCCTCCTGCTACAGTTGCCTAAGTAGCTGGGGTTACAAGTGTGTGCCACTGGGCCCTGCTAAGTATCTTTCATTGTGATAATACACATAACATGCCATTTACCATCTTAAATGCTCCCCCTTTGGCAGTGTTAGGGGTCAAACCCAGGGTCTCACACATGCTAGGCAAGTGCTCTACCACAAAGCTACATCCCCAGCCCTCCAGAACTTTTGACTGTTAGACATAAATAATTTTTTAAATTTTGGGCCGGAGATTTAGCTCAGTGGTTTCGCCGCCTGCTGCGCAAGCACAAGGACTCGAGATGGATCCCTGGTAACAAAAAAAAAAAAATTTATTTTTGGGTTTTTGAGACAGGGTCTCGCTATGTAGCTCAGGCTGGCCTGGAACTCACTATGTAGCCAAGGCTGGCCTCAAAGGCATGGTGATCCTCCTGCCTCAGCCTCCTGAGTGCTAGGATCACAGGTGTGCACCACTACACCCAGCCTAAATAAAATGAAGCACATGTCCGAGCTGGATTGTGCTTCAACTTACCATTTTCCCAACTCTGACTTGGAGCTGGAGGAGTTGAGGGGAATCCCAGATGAGGCCTTTTATAAATGGCAGGGCTGGGGCAAGCCTGTCAGAAAAGGCTAGAATCCACAGCAGGGTGGGTTGGGTCTCAAGGTGTGAGATGAGTGTTCACGAACATGAGTGCTGCACGGCTGGGGACTAGCTCAGAGGTAGTACTCATCTAGTGTATGTGAAATCAAGAAAAGAACAGGCCAGGGATGATGATGTCACAAACCTGTAATCCCAGCAGTCAGGAAGCTGAGGCAGGAGGATCGCCCTGAGTTTGGAGCGAGACTGGGCTACATAGGCAATGAGACCCTTTCTCAAAAAAAAAAAAAAAAAAGAGAAGAAGAAGAAAAGGAAAAAGAACTGCTAGAAGCTAGAGGAAATGCAGCCTGAGGATTGCTGAGGACAGAGGCTGTGGGTTTCCTGTCCCTCTGACCAGGTAGGAAGGTAACAGGCAGGTGACCACCAGGAAGGGAAGCTTGAAATAGACATCAGAACCCAGAGCTCAAGCGGGAAGAGCTTTATTTTTTCCAGGAACCTAGGACACAGAATAGAGAAATTTGGTTAAGGCTGGAAGTGGAAGAAGTGTTCTAGGGGAAGAATCTGCCAAAAGGGGAATGACTACTGCTTTGACCTTGAGCAAGGCTGAGGGTTCTTTAGTTTTACGTCACCTTTTTATTTTCATTTATTTATTTTGTTTGTCTTTTTCCGGTACTGGGTATCAAACTCAGGACCTTGCGCTTGCAAGGCAAGTGCGCCACCACTGAGCTAAATTCCCAGCCCTTATTTTTTGGTTTTTTGAGACAAAGTCTTGCTATGTAGTCCAGGTTGGCCTGGAATTCACTTTGTAGCCCAGATTGGCCTCAAACTCTCAGCAGTCCTCCTACCTCAACCCCCTGAGTGCACCACCACCTAGTTTTTGTCTCTTCTTTAGTCACCTGACATTGGTTCTGATCTTTGTATCTTTCAGTCCCCTTGATTAGGTAACGGGTATTACATTTTAAAAATGAAGATAGATTTACTTTATTCTTATACATTTGTGTTTGTCATAAAAATTCAGACTATAGGGCCGCAGATTTAGCTCAGTGGTTCCGTCTATTGCCTTGCAAGCGCAAGGACCCGAGTTTGATCCCTGGTACAAAACAAAAAAAAAATTCAGACTATAAAAGTATAAATCATGATCCAAAATTCCCATTTTCAGCATCTCTCTGCATGTACACATTGGCACACACACTCATTCTTCTGTTTCCAGCATTACATAAATTCTCTCACAATCTGTTGTGGCCTAGTTATATGATGTCAGATATTCTAGTTTAAGCACACCATACCAGAGGATGACCATTTAAAACTAGCCCATAATTTTCTTTTTTTGCAATGTCTTTGGTTTTAGTATCAGGGAAATGCTGATCTCAAAAAATGAGTTGGAAAGTGTTTCCTCTGGTTCTATTTTCTGGAAGAATTTGGATTCCTTTTTTTTTAGACATGGCCTCACTATGTTTGTTTGTTTTGTTTTTTGGTACTGGGGATCAAACCCAGGACCTTGCACTTGCCAGGCAGGTGGCAGCACCACTGAGCTACATCCCTGGCCTGAGCCTATGAACTATGTAGTTCAGGCTGACCCTGAACTTACTATGCAGCACAGGCTGGCCTCAGCCTCCCTGGGATTATAGGTGTGTGCCACCACACCTGGGCTAGGATTCTTTCTTCCTTAAATTTTTTTTTTTTTTTGGTACAGGGGTTTGAACTCAAGTCCTTGCGCTCAAGGCAGGTGGAGGAACCACTGAGCTAAATCCCCAGCCCTTCCCTAAATTTTTAATAGAATTCATTAGCAAAGTTATCTGGACCTGGAATTTTTCTTTCTTTTTTTTAAAAAAAATTATTTTTGGGGCCTGGGATGTAGCTCAGTGACACCACACCTGCCTGGCAAGTGTAAGGTCCTGAGTTCGATCCCTGGTACCAGAAAAAAAAATTTTTCTTGGTTGGGCATGGTGGTACACACTTGTAATTCCAATACTTGAGGGCCAGGGATTTAGCTCAGTGGCAATACTGGGGTACCGCTATATTCACATTGTTAGCAACCACAGCTTTTCATCTTATAAAATTGAAACTCAGTACCCACTGAATAAGTCCCTCTTTCACCCCTTACCGCCCCTGGTAACCACAGTCTACTTTCAGTTTCCACAAGTGTGGCTGCTTTAAACAACATCCCTCATGGGCTGGGGATTTAGCTCAGTGGTTCCAGCGCCTGCCTCGCAAGCTCAAGGACCCGAGTTCGATCCCCAGTACCAAAAAAAAAAAAATATATTAAACAACATCCCTCAGAAGTGGAATCAGATATTATTTCTTTGGTTGTGACTGGCTTATTTACCTTAATATCCTTAGGTTCACCCATGTTGTAGTGTGTGATGGAATCTTCTCTTTTAAGACTGAATATGCATTGTGTGTGTGTGTGTGCACGTGCACTTTTTGTTTATCCATTCACTTATTAGTGGATAAACAAATTTAGTGGCTTCCACCACTTGGCCCCTTTGAACCCACATCTGCCCGTAGCTCTTTGACATCTGCCTGAAATCCCTTTGGCTATTCAGGCCCAGAAGTGGGGTTGCTTTGTCAACCGCTGACTGTTGTTTGTGTTCTGAGGAACCCCGATTCTGTTCTCCACAGTGGCTGTACTTACATCCCCATCCTCAGCAAAACAGTTATTTTCTAAATGTGTTTTGTTTTGTTTTTAGTACTGGGGATTAAACCTAGGGCTTTTGCACTGAGCTACATCTCCAGCTCTTTTTTGAGATAAGGTCTAACTAAATTGGTGCGGCTGCCCTTGAATTTATGATCCTCCTGCCTCTGCCTCACCTTTTATTATAGCTGGGATTATAGGCGTGTGCTACCACATCCTACTTTTTGCTTGCTGATTTTATTTAATTTTACCTCTCTGTCTGCCCATCCATCTATCCACCCATCCACCCATCCATCCATCCGCCCATCCACTTACTCACCCACCCACTCATCCATCCATTCCTCCATTTATTTAGTTTTTTGAGACTGAGTCTCAATATGTAGTGCAGGTTGGCCTTGAACTCAACTATGTAGCCCAGGCTGGCCTTGAAATTGAGGTGCTCCTCCCGCCTCAGCCTCTAGAATGCTAGGATAACAGTGTGAGCCACCATGCTAGGCTTGTTTGTTTTGATACTGGCCATTAGAGGGGGTGTGAGGTGACATCACTGTAGTTTCACTTCTACTTCTCTACTGATGAGAGATAGTAAACATCTTTTCATATGCTTGTCAGCCGTTTGCATGTCTTTTTTGGAGAAATGTGTATTTAAGTCCTTTGCCTATTTTGGGGGTTTTTTTTGAGACAGGGTCTCACTATGAAGTTCAGGCTGGTCTTGAACTCACTGTGTAGCCAAGGCTGACCTCAAACTTGCACTGTTCCTCCTGGCTCAGCCTCCCTAGTGCTGGATCACAGACACGTGCCACCACGCCTGGCACTGTGCCTATTTTTCAGTTGTTCTATTCAGTTTGCTGTTGCCAAGTGGTAGGAATTTGGTATATATTCTCGATGTTAATCCCACTTAATTTTTAATATTTAAACCAACTTGCCTTATTGGAATAAATCCCAGTTCAACTTGGTCATAATGTACTTATGTATCACTTGATTGAGTTTGCTAATATTTTGATTAGGATTTTTCCTTCTGTGATCATGCTTACAATTGCTCACTAATATTTTTGTGTGTATGTATGTGATAATTCTTATCAAATTTGAGTATCAAGATGATAATTCATAAGCTTGAGGATCATTCCCTCTTTTCTAGTTAATGGAGAATTCAGGATATCACAAGCTGGGCCTGTTGGTACACGCCTGTGATCCCAGCACTCAGGAGGCTGAGGCAAGAGGATTGCTGCAAGTTTGAGGCCAGCCTGGGCTACATAGTGAGATCCTGTAAAAAAAAAAGATATCTTTTTCTCTTTCTGTTCCTCACCATTCTCCTCCCTTGTCTTCCTGAACAGTTCAAACCAATAGATATAAGGTGAGGGTCAACCAGGAGACGCTTCCATAGCAGGTGGCCACAGAGGCCTGGTAGCCTTGCTAGAGCTAGGGAAGCTGGGCTGGGTGTCAGTGCAGGGACCACAGAGGTTGCTGAGCAGCGCAGTCAGGGCCTGAATCCAGAAGGAGTGTGTGCATGCTGGCTGGGGGTGGGGGGGGACTGGACAGGGATGTCCTAGCAAGGACCAGGACAGTGTGATCAGCTGGCAGGGAGACAGCCGAGGGCATGGCAGCCCGCAGTACTGCTGGGGATGGGACCTAGGGCCTGTACACCCTGGGCAAGTGCTCTACCACCAAGCTGCACTCCAGCCTGGTCACAACGGCGCAGCACCGCTGCCTGGCACGTGTGGAAGGACAGGGAGGCACACGGGGCTCGTGCCTGCCTTCCTAACCCAGCCACTGTTCAGAGGGGGAGCTTTGCTAGAGTGAGCACTGTGAAAATGATAAACTGGGAGAAAAGGGGAAGAACTGTTGGTACACACAAGAGCCTGGATGAAGGCCTGGGGATTTAGCTCAGTGGTTTTGCCGCCTGCTGGGCAAGCCCAAGGACCCGAGTTCAGTCCCCGGTACCAAAAAAAAAAAAAAAAAAAGAGCCTGGATGAACCTCAGAGAAATAAAAAAAGGCAACCTCAAAAGTTTACAGCCTAGGGGCAGAGGGATTTAGCTCAGTGGTTCCACCGCCTGCCTCGAAACCACAAGGACTCCAGTTCGATCCCCTGTACCAAAAAAAAAAAAAGTTTACAGCCCGAACAATAGAAGACAAGTCTGCAAACTCTGACTCATTTCTACGAATTCTATAAAGGGAAAGCCATAGCAATAGTGACAGAGAAGATCAGCTCTTGCCAAGGGTTGAGGGGTAGAGGAAGGGTACTGGTCAAAGAGAGAACAGGAAAGGTGGGTTTTGTTTTTTGTGGGGTTTTTTGAGATAGGGTCTCAATATGTAGCCCAGGCTGGCCTCAAACACATGGCGATCCTCCTGCCTCAGCCTCCTAAATCCTGAGACTACAGGTGTGCGCCACCATGCTTGGCTGAGAAATTGGGGGTTGGGGGGGCAATAGAATTGTTGCTAAACTTCACAGAACTGTATTCTCTAAACAGTCGTTTTTACTGTATGTTAAAGTATAAAAGCAAAAATAAAGAGCGCTGCGGAGGGCATTGCCACTCACTGCCTTTTCCCTCCTCGTGTCAGATCGGAGCTGGGGGCAGCATCATGGGCCTGAAGTTCAACCTTCTCAACACTGACCAGTTCTACGCCGCCTCCATGGAGGGAACAACAAGGCTGCAGGACTTTCAAGGCAACACTGTCCGAGTTTTTGCCAGAACTGATTGCTGCAAGTGAGTAGCTTGCTTCCGAGCACAGGGGTTCATTCTGCAAGGATCCTGGCCCCGCCTGGCACAGGGTGGAAGGAAAAGTGTCAGCCACTTGCCGGCCTCCTGTCCCCATCTAGGTGGCTGCCCTGACCTCGGCCCAGCTGGGTCACTGCTTTGGGGAGTTGTGGCAGGGCTTCGGCATCTCCGCAGGCCCTCGGGAGCTTGCATGTGTGGAGTCATCTCCTAGGAGCAGGTGGCGGGGAATAAGCACAATCTGTCACTTTGCTGTCTGGCCTGGGCCGTGGCTCTGCCTGGAACAAAGAATCAGCACCGGTGCGGGCACAGCTAGCTGGTGACAGTCACATGAGCTGTCGGGATAGGGGACAGGCAGGACTCCGCTCCAGGTTTGCCTGTCCCGAGAAACCAACACCCCAGCCCCGCGTACTGACACTTGGGGCAGGGGCCAGAAAGCGGTGCACATGGCTTGGGAGGATTTCAGAGAAACAGTGAATCAGAGCTGTCCTGGTCGAGCATCAGGATCCCCTTGTCCTCAAGTGGTTTGGGGAGAAAAGTGCTTCTGGGATGCGTGTGCTTTCCCCCGAATGCTCAGAAAGGGGCCCACACTCGTTTCTAGGCAGCTGTGAATAGAGCTGCCCGCTTCCAATTTGGTTTGTCATCTCCTTTGGCCAAAGGTGGAGAGGGATGGGGAGCGAACAGGGAGCGAGGCTCCCTTAGAACCCAGCTTTAGCGGGCAGGCTTGCCTTGGACTTGGGCTGTCCCTGAGGTCTGGCTGCTTCGGGCAACTGCCATAGCTGAGGATGCTGAGCTGCCAGGAATGGGTGCATTTCTGAGTCCATCACCCCATTCCCTCTCTTTGGACGGAGGATGAATCTGAGTGTTCCTCACTGAAAATCCATGGCCACCCGATCATTCATTCAGCAATACCTATTCGCTGGCCTGGCCACAGTGAATAAACAGACCTGCCTCAGGGCCAGTAGTCTCACAGCAGTCTCTCCCTCCAGCATCTGGTTCTGCAGCTTGGATGTGTCTGCCAAGAGCCGAGTGCTGGTCACAGGAGACAACATGGGCCACGTGATCCTGCTGAACACAGACGGCAAGGAGGTGCGGTCTCCACAGCCCCGGCCTCTCCCCTCCCTCACCACAGCCTCGGTTTTGTGTCCCACCCTGAACCAGGCTCTTCTCTGCAGCTTTGGAATCTCAGAATGCACAAAAAGAAAGCGACCCATGTGGCCCTGAACCCCTGCTGTGAGTGGTTACTGGCCACAGCCTCCGTAGATCAAACAGTGAAGCTCTGGGACCTGCGCCAGGTTAAAGGGAAGGACAGCTTCCTCCACTTGCTGCCACACAGTCACCCTGTCAACGCAGGTGTGTGACACTTGAGCCTGTCTCTGCCGCAGACCCTGCGTGACACACCACGGCTGCAAGTTTTCCTCGAAGTTTATGAGCCACTGGGTCAAGCCGGTACCCCAGTAGCATCCGCCACACTGATGTCCTGGCACCTGTGGGGCTGTGGCCACCCCATGAGCTGCTGAGTTTCTAGAATTCTTGTTCATAGGCCAGATTCCCCCTTTCCCTCCCGTCCTTTGCTCCCCACCCTGGACGGGCAGAATGATGGGTTGGGGTTCCCCGGCTCACGGGCTTTCCACTCTGCCAGCTTGCTTTAGCCCTGACGGAGCCCGGCTGCTGACCACGGACCAGCAGAACGAGATCCGGGTTTACTCCGCTTCGCAGTGGGACCTCCCCGTGAGCCTGATCCCGCACCCACACCGCCACTTCCAGCACCTCACCCCCATCAAGGTGAGTGACAGGACATGGACAGGGCAGTGAAGGTGAGCCTGCCTGCGGCCCTCACCTCTTCTCGCCCCACACAGCAGTCTCTGCCATCGGGCTCTGCCTGCTCCTCTTGTTCCGCCTCTGCAGTTCCATTTTGAATTTTCTTAACCTAACATGCTATTTTCGTGAGTCTTTTTTGCTCATCCATGGGCACTTTCAGTGACGCTGAGCCTCTGTCCTGTCCTCACAGTTCTTCCGGTTACCTGTCTGCACAGTTTGTCCTCAAGCTAACCTTCACCTTAGTTTGTCTTGCAGGTGTAGGTGGCTTCTAGTAATAGAAATAAGTCCCCCACCTCCCCAGTTTGGATCTCCGTGTCCTCTTGTAAAAAGGGAATGGTAGTGTCTAACTAATAGGGTGGTCGTGACGATGATCGGTGCACTGAAAGCACTTGCACCACACCTAGCACCCGGTAAGTACTCAGATGTGATGCTCAGCACCTCCAATCAAATCCAATAATGAGAGAATACCAAGAATCCTTTGCCAGCTGGTGTTCTTCCTAACCAACCTGTCCTCACCTCCCTTTCACATCCAGCCCGGCTAACTTCCCATCTGTGATTTGTTAGTGACTTATTCCCAAGCCAGTGCATGCACCATTTCTTTCTTCCTGCTAACCGTGGCTTTTGCCCTTCACAAGACCCTTGTGATGTTAGGAAACCCCATCCAGTGCTGTCATTCTATTAACTGCCTGGTTGGTTTTGAGTGGGGCAATCTGGGGAACACGGGTTTTCTCTCCTTTTTGCCACTAGTGATTTTATACTCAGCTCTGGGTTGTTCACATGGATAGGGGTTCAGTGGTGTTACTTCAGAACTTACGGCCAGTTGGGATTTGGTTACGAGTTTCTGCTCTGCTGAAGGCTCACCTCTTGGGTTGTGGGTGGACCAGGCTGATGTTAAACATTAGATGGTATGAGCTCAGGAAATTCGAGAGAGAGAGAGAAGGCTTGGAGGGGTCCTCAGGGCCAGGGAGGCCAGCTGGGATTATGAACTCGTTGGTGGCTGGCACACACAGTTGAAAACTATGCACAGGCACAGGGGTCTTATCTCCATTATGAAGTACCTGGCTTGTTAGTGACAAAACATCCTTTTGTTGTTCCTTTTAACAGGGTTCCCCTGTGACCCTCTCTCATCTCCTAGGCAACCTGGCATCCTCGGTACAACCTCATCGTTGTGGGCCGGTACCCAGATCCTAATTTCAAAAGTTGTGTTCCCTACGAGTCAAGGACAGTTGACATGTTTGATGGAAACTCTGGGAAGTTGCTGTGTCAGCTCTGTGACCCAGAATCTTCTGGTATCATTTCGGTGAGGCACAGGCCCTCACAACAGGAGGAAATTGGGGTTCAACCCACTTCCTGACTTGTTAGTCCTTGTGTCCTGCCTGTCAGTACTCGCCACCCTCCTCATGCTGATACTCTTGTCTCTGCAGCTCAACGAGTTCAACCCCATGGGGGACACGTTGGCCTCAGCCATGGGTGAGTAGGAAGCAGCAGTGCATCTTAACCTGGCCAAGCCCAACCCTTCTCTGCAAGGTTCAGCACAGGGTGAGGTTAACCCCAGGGCAGCAGCCAGATAAGATGACGGGGACACAGCGGTCTCTGGCCTGGGCCCTTGTCAACTTGCTTTGGCTTGGTGGTACCACTGCTAGGATTTCCTTACCAAGCACTGGGCTCCCCGGGCCAGCCTGACAGCGGGAGGACAAGTCAGACTGTTCCTCCTCCCCCAGGTTACCATGTTCTCATCTGGAGCCAGGAGGAAGTTGGGCCTTAGACAGTGACCGAGAGCCAGTGAAGAAGGTGTGGGCCTTGTGACAGCTTTGAGCCCACACACGGGAACAAGCTGTATGAGAAGAGGCAGCTGTTTATTAAAGGGGTGAAAGTGCCCAGTGTTAGAATGGAGCAGGGGCACTGTGGGACCAGGGCACTGGCTTTTTACTGCTGTGCACTTAGCTCCGAAAGCTGAGTGACCCAAGGCTGTGTCCAGCCCGGAGCCGACATGGTTTGGTCCCTTCTGACGTGGGTGGCAGAGTGATGCGTGTTTTGGTTTGTTGCACTACTGACGTGGCCAATAAAACCATACCCAACCAAGCTTCTGAGTGATCTAGCACTGCCCAGGGCAGAAGGCTCTGTGGGTCTCAGAGCTGAAGAACAGGTACAGAGCAGCATTCATGGTCCAAACCTTCATTCTCCGGAAACTGCCACAGCCCTGTTCTGGGCCATGGTCAGGAGTGGTCCAGCTCCCCAGCCCAGGATGCAGAGAGCAGTTTCCTGATTCAGTTTGATTTGCTCCCCCAACTCCCTCCCTGTTAAAGTACAAACCCTTCCAACCTGCTCAAGCCCAGGGGTGACTAAGGTGCTCGAAGCACAGTGTCTCACTAATGGTGGCTTCTGCCAGATACAAGACAACTGGCTGGCTGGTTGTTGGGCGATCAGTTCCTTGGTAGCCAATGTTTATACCCGTGTTGCGCAGTTTTTCCCTCTAAAATGTGCATTGAGCAGCAAGGCAGTGTCCTCTTGAGTTATGTGCCAAAACTCCAAACCAGAAGGGAGAGCAGGGCTTGGTGGAAAAGCAAGGCAGAGCAGGCTCTGACTCCTTTGGGTTTTTTATCCCAAATCCTGAGTGAAATGAGAGCTTGTCCACACCTCAGGTCCTCAGGGAGAGTGGGAGAGGCAAATCCGTCAGGAAGAAGCCAACATCCAACACAGTTCTTGGTAGAAGTCAACTAAGTGACAGGTGCCGCAGGGCACACCAAGCCCCATTGCCTGTCTGGGCTGGGGGATCGGGAGGCCCAACCCAGCCTCCTGTCCATGGCTGGGAGCAGCAGCAGTCAAGAGCAGGCCCAGCCCACTTCCCTAGGAGGCGGCGGGAAGGGGGCCGAGTGGTTGTCAAGCGTGGTCCTCCCCGTCTGCCACATGGCGGTAGCCAGGAGGCTGGGCCTGCGTCCGGAAGAGGACAGTGAGGAGTAGCACGATGAGGAGGAAGAGGATGGAGCCGCAGACGGCCAAGGCCACAATCACCTCTGCACAGAGAGGGAGAGACAACATAAGCGTTCACCCTGCAAGCATCAAGCAGCTACCATGGCCAGGTGCTGCTCCAACGATGGGACAGACAGGTGGCCAGGACAGTCCCTGCGCTGTGGAGTTTACACTCTGGGAGAGGAGCTTTGACACACAAGCGGAGGATGGGAAGCACTGGTGATGACTGCTACGAGCAGGTAGGTTAACCAGGAAAGACATCATGACGAAGAGCAGAGACCGGTGTCAATGAGGGAGACACAGATCTGAGAGCAGAGGCTCGGTATGGTGAGACAGGCCTGTAATCCCAGCACCCAGAGGACAAGTTTGAGTCCAGCCTGGACAACTCAGACTTAGAGACTGTCTCAAAATTGAAAAGAAATGGGGGCGGGGACTGAGGATGTGGCGCAGTACAGAGGCCCTGGGTCTAAATCCTAGAAGCGTAAAACAAAAGACTAACAGATCTAAGAGTGTTCAAGTGGGAGGTGGGGGGTCAGGAAGCAGATGCATTAAAAAAAAAAAGTGGTTGCACTAGGGTTCCAAAAAAAAAAAATGGGGCGGGGTGGGGATGTAGCTCAGTGGTGCCGCCACCTGCCTCCCAAGCAGGTCCTGAGTTCGACCCCTGGTACCAAAAAAAAAAAGAAGCAGCAGATGGCAAGAGGGCCTGGCTTGGGAATAAGCTTGGTGTGACCTAAGGTTAGGAGAAAGTCCGCATCCCCAGGGCTAAGCAGGAGGCCTGGGAGGGGGAGGCAGAGAACTTGGACTTGTGTGGCAGGAAGCCATTGGGAGGCCCAGGAGGATGGTAACGTGGCCGACTGACAGTTCTTAGAAATGAACTCTGCTGCGTTGAAAGACTAGCAGGGACAAGAAGAGAACCAGAAAGAATACCAGGAGGCTCTTCAGCAACTGAGACAAGTAGGACAGGTCTGGAGCAGGGAGGCGAGAGCGAGTATTGCAAAGGCTGAGCCGAGAGAATCTGCTAGTGGTTTGGATGTGGGTAGGAGCAGGACAACACTAAGACTGCTGCACCACTAAGTGATGGACATAGCACTGACTGAACTGGGAGCCTCTGAGGATGAGCTCGTGTTCCACAAGTCCACTCGCTCACTGGACATCCACGGAGAGGCCTGGAGTCAGCAGCTGGGGGCACCCACGAGTGCAGCTCAGGGATGAGGCCGTGAATCTGTGTTGTAACCACAGAGCTCACCATGGCAGGGTGTAGGGAGCCCTGAGGCCGGATGAGGTCACTGTGGGAGTCACAGAAAAGCAAAGGGATGGGGACTGGCCCTGCACTGTCCATTGGTCAGTGGGGAGGAAAGCTGGGAAGGAAGCTAGCTGGAAATTAGGAGAAAAACCAGGAGAAGCCGAGAGTGGGGGTTTTGGTTCTTTTCTGCAGTGCTGGGAAAAGAACTCAGGGCCTCGGATGTGCTCTGACACTGAGCTATATCCCCAGTTCCCAAGAAAGTGTCTGAGCAGGGAGTGATCAGCTCTATGATGCTGCCGAAAGGTGACAAGCTGCTAAGAACTGGTCACCTTGACAAGAAGACGGTAATGTCAGTCTCAAGTGAGAATGGGTAGTGAGGAAGTGAAGCTAGTGTCCAGGCAACTCTAGGGAAAATTCTACTCCAAAGGGGTCAGAGAAACGAGAGCTGGAAAGATGCATGTGAAGCCTTCCTTGGCTCTGGAATAGCTGTGATCAGTGGGGAAGGGGACACAGGTGTCACAGGTCCTATGGAGAAGAGTTGGGACAGCGACTGGCTTCTACCAGCAGGTGAGCTGGTGGTCCGTGATGGAGAAGACATTCTCTGCTGCTGGCTGCTCTTACTCTCAGTGACACAAGAAGTGTGGGGATCACTTCCAGGTACAGACCAGGCAAACAGTGGCAAGTGGTCCCAGGGCTGAGGAGGGAACTGTCCAGCGAAAGGCACTAAGGCGACAGCTCCCTCTAGACTTGGGACCTGACCAGCACTGGCAGTGGCAGCTCACCTGTGTCTGCAGTACTGTTTGCCAGCTGGCATTCCTGCTGCCAGTCCTTGGGCACAACAGGCTCTGTGAGGCGAAGGAAGTCCTGCAGTGGGCACTGGTGAGGGCAGCCAGGCAGGAGTAGGGGCCAGGGGGCCTTCTTACTTTCATTCCGGAAGTACATCTCCACTGAGAAATTCCTGGGGCCGACAGGGGTGAGACGGGCTGCTCACCGAGCCTGTCACCCAGCCACATCCCAGAGCTGCCCCAGAGGATACCCTGCTAGCTCTACGTACCCAGTATCTTCCTGGTATAGTTCAAATATGTGGCAGGAAGCATAGGGGGCCTGTGCACCATTGTAGACATCCAGGGCCATTTGCAGAGCAACCAGGGTCGTGTCGTGCTGGAAGGGAAAGGGACGGCCCGTCAGACTGACCCCTAAGCCCCAGAATTGAACAGAGAAGAAACCCAACTCCCGGCCTGAGCTCCGGGCTTACCGCAGAGTAGACCAGCAGCTTAGGGAGCTGGGAGGTAGTTGCCATGAGGGTCAGGTTCTTCCGTATCTGAGCCAGCAGGACTCCTGGAGCAGAAAAGTCCCCTGTGTCAGTTGCTATAGCCATCAACATCTGATCAACCAAGTGCTCCTCATCCTGCTACTGCTGGTTCTGATCACCAACCCAGAGACCTTTTTTTGCAGTACTGAGGATTGAACCATGGGCTTCACAATGAGCAACATTTCCAGCCCCTTTTTATTTTTATTTTTTTTGTACTGGGGATCGAACTTGGGACCTTGCGCTTTGAGGCAGGCGCCAGAACCACTGAGCTAAATCCCCGGCCCCGTTTTTTTTTTTTTTTTT